AACCTTTAACATCAAAGCTAAACAAATTCTTTACTAGTCTGACATCAGCAAAATCTCTCACGGAAACTGACATCCTGGCTTTTGCGCCATATTCTCACAAATTGCTTTTGACTGGACCGCTGTCTAGCGCCAACAGAAACAGTTTGCTGGAAACTGGCAGCAGATTGAATCACTGTTACAGTATATTCAGTTAGTATTGATGGTGGTGCTGTATTAGGTAATCGCTATGTCTGATAGCACACAGACCTTGGCCCATCACATCTCTTCGTCAGTTATTGTTGACATTATTGATGTAACAGCAGTCAAAGCAAATGGAAAAGCTATTTCCTGTATTGCCTAGTGTTGTATTATGCTATAATTTCTCCTGTGAAAAATAATTACACTTTTGCATACTTATTACAGAAATAATCTAATTTAAAAGAACTGCATGTCATGTTTTTGAACACTTAGTTGCATTTAAATTAAAATGTATTATGGTTTACATTTATATTAAATGAAATTAGTTGAACTTAAGAGTGCTTTTTACCCTTTAAAGTACATCTTTACATGTAAATTCATAATTACTTTTATGGTTAAAGTGTACTGCTGAATGTACTGACAAAAATTGGTATGGTAAACTAAAATATACTTTAATGTAATTTCTTCACAAGGATTATTCTGCTATAAGCTGTGAAGTACCTCTGTGTTCTAGAAAATGTATCTTTTAATCAAAGAAAGTGTGTGTGTGTTCTATGCGTGCCGGGGCAACTCCACACTTCCTGTCTGTTACTTTGATCCAACCCATTACTTTTATGAAGCAATCGCACCCTAACACCTGGAACCAGCAATGGGTTCTCTCTCTCCCTTCTCCTTGGTGCTGTGTGTTGTCTTTGGTGTGGTAGTTTGTCTTAAACATGGTGTGCTGGTAGTTATGGCATGCTGGGTCAAACAAGAGGCCCAGTCACGTCTTCCAGGCGGCCAGCTGCCTCCACCACCCAAAACCACCCCTCCCAAAACCGCTTAGAGTTGTTCTTTATAAAAATACATACTTTTATAATGCCCTCATTCTTCGAGCCAGGAAGACATAATCACTGTTTGCTGGGTGTAATGTGTTTGTAGATGTGCATGTTTTACATCAGGCTGCAGAATTATGATCGCTCATTGGTTTGGAGCAGCAAGACTGCATTCACTGTGTGTTAAAGTACGCTTATGTGAATGTGCACATGGTAGCCTTCAAACTGAAAACAATAAATCAATAAAACTGTCCTGCTTTAACTTGTAACTATACTTTTATAGTTTCTGAATTAAATGTGAATGGAACTTGCGTGTGTAAAACTCACCGCCACAATTCTAGGGGGTTCTGGGTGTTTGCTTGCTGGCAAAGTCAAAGAGCCCACCCATTGAAATTCTAGATATGGCTGGGGTCCCTCTTGCAGTGTAGGTTTTTTAGCATTTTTGTCAGCTGTTTTATTGTACACCAGGTGAAAATTGTAAGTTGGTATGATATGATAATATGATATGATCATATGGTAATACAAAAAGCGGTCCATATGACTGGTGGGAAACAGTCTTCTGAAGTCAAACGACAGCACAACTAAGAATGAGAAGTAGCAGACATATGCCACAATTTCAATTCCTGAAAGATCTGTGACGCTCAGTGTCAAGAGCAGATTGAAAATACCTATACATAACAAAACACACACATGCATCTTTCAACAAGTGTCTTTGACTTATCACACAGCAGCTCTTGGCTTAGTCTGTTGAATTCTGGTAAAGTTTGGCACTGCAGTCTTGCGCTTCTTTTGGGATGAGTGAATTGTGCGGGTCGAGGGTGACTGATCTCACTCCTTGGGGCAGCAGATGGCCAGTGAGACACACAAAGAAGCTCACAATGTGAGCGACTGCCATTCAGATCATCTTTTCTGAATGGGACAGGACACACATCCCACAATGCCCTGGTTCAGCCCTCTGCAGCTCGGCGTCTGGAACCGACAAAACTCATTGGCTGCTTCTGTGTTCAGTCTCTTACAAAGCCACAGTGTTGGAAGCATAACATCATACCGCCTGCTGGTACTTTTCATAATTAAGCAGCCGTCCGCCTCCCTGCTGCATCTCAAGAGCACTGTTCCTTGCTTCATTGAAGCTTGGTCGTGTGAAAGAAGATGGTGTTGGCAGCATTCAGTGCTCACTTCTGTGTTAGAGGTCATGGTTAGGGTGGTGTGTTTTTTCCACATCCTCTTGAGCTGTTAGGGCAGGATGGTTTTGCTACCTCTGAACCCCGAAGTCCCTTATCACCCCTAAATCTCACTCAGTAAAGTTCACAGGATATGAAATATTCCCAAGCAGCCAGGAGCACTTCATCCTGCCACTAATACAATTCTCATTACGGATATTTTCCAAATCCTCTTCTGGCTTTGAGACAAAACAATGCTACCCCAAACATAGTCAAAAGATTTTGTGTACAGTCTAAACACATTGCTTTGAGGGATTGAGTTACTGAACCATTACGGTTCAGACAAAAAATTAAGAAAATTGTGAAGAATTTCCTAGTCTAAAAAAATAGACAGGGAGGTTGTATGAAGTCTGCCCTTGTTAATGCTTGCGGCACTACGTCATGGAATGTGGCAGCAGGACAGAAGCGTGAGGTCTATTTAGATTTGGGGTTGGGGGTTGGAGTGGGGCTTCCCACTGCAGACTGCACACACAAGAGCTGACTGTGTGTTACTGACACATGCCCCTCCCTTCCTCTGTTTCTCCACAGATGAGCGATGGAGAGAGAGACAGAGAGAGAGGAACAGCTGTGGTAGAGAGACAGTGAAGGGAGGAGGATCTCAGTGAGAGTCAGATGCTGCACCAGGCAGGAGCAGACAGAAGTCAGCCGTAGACAACGTTGGAAAAAGAGGATGACCAGTGTAAAGGAATATGTCTAAAAGAAATATGAAGGAATATCTTTGTATGCTCTGACAACTGGCTTTATTAGAGGTAAAAAGAAACTCTATTACTATGTAATACTGTTGTTTTAAAAGTGTGTGTTTTTGTGTGTAGGTGCATGGATGGGTGGATAAGTGAACAGTTAACTGGATAGATAGAAAGTTAGACAGATAGATGCATAGTTATATGGATGGTTAGGTAGAAAGATGAATGCATGGAATGCTTAACTTTGACCTTGATGTTTCTTTACCATTTTCCTCACAGATCAGAATGGGAAATACAGATAGTCAGTATAGCAATTTCATCATCCCTGGTAAGGGAAAATCTAGCTCCTTGAAGCTGCACACCTCAAAAGAGGAGGCACTTTCCCCACATTCTTGGTGGAGGAGCACTGAAAGCACCTCTGGATACAAGGCCAAAAATGGATTTTCACCACACAAGAGCAGCCAACCTTACATCTCCCGCCATTATGACTGCATTAAAGGGGGATCTAGTGACGAAGTACGTTCAGAGAGACACAGAGACAATGACAACCTTTTATTACAGGGAAATGGATTCTTTGTAGGCTACAGACAACAGACTGGAGGCCTCCAGGCCCCTATGAAGAGCACCAGTTCTGAGATTAAAGATAGTAAGAACAGTCCCAAAGTTCTTTTTCGTGAGGATGGAAGTCTGAGGGTAGAGTTTACCAATGCACGGAGGGAGCCGGATGTTGCACTGTCTTTGGGCAGCTGTCTCAGTGGACCTGTTGATGCTACCCAAAGGGCCAGTAATGGGAGCTCTCTTAGCTCTGAGGGTTCATGGTATGACTCACCCTGGGGGAATGGGACAGAAGATCTGTGTGATAACGTCTTCACCACCGGCCAACCTTCGGACAACAGTAGTGGATATACCACACTCTCATCCACACGTACTGTAGATTTTGGATGTTTTAATGGTTACAATACAGAACAACCTGAGAACCATATGGGTAACCTCACCTGCCAAGCCACAGTTCATGGCAGTCAGTATGCAAGCAGTGATTGCAATAGTAATGGGTACAATGCTAACCGAGCTGAGGAAGACAGTGGTATTGGAGACTCTGTGTTCCTTCATTTGGAACATAATGGATTATCCAACCTTTACGCAAACCCCAACATGACCGTGCCATTCCCTACCATGGGCATCCTAGCGGTGGATCAGCTTGAGGACACTCCTCACCTCCAAACCTCACTGACCGCTTCCCTGGATGTGAACTCCCAGGATGAGAGTCAGAAAACCCAGAATTACACCTCACAAACCCTGCCATGCAGAAAAGCAGTTCCTGATGGGAATACAAGGAAGGACTCGCTCAAGAGTCGCATCCACCGCCTCAGCGATTGGACAGGAAGTCTAAGCAGGAAGAAGCGAAGGCTGCAGGTGAGAAAATTATTTTTTTTGGTGTATTGGGCGTTAGTGTAAATCTGTCAGCATAGCAGACCTTCTTGTTTGACTCCAGAATTATCATGCAGATGTTATCATATTACAATTCCATTTCCTGTTCAGTGTTCTGGGTGTAAAATGATGTTTTAGTTGAAGTTGACTCTTCAATGCTGTAAAGCATTCTTAGATGACATTCCTCTCTGAAACAACAAATTACTGGTATGCTTGTTGGACTGGCCATGATTTGTAAGAGTTGTAAGGAAGAGTAAAGGGTGTGAAAAACTTCACAACATTGTGGCAACCTTGTAAAACAGTTACATGTTAACATTTGCCATCCTCTTCTCACTTCATGTCTACCCAACCTCAGGAACCAAGTACTCTGGACTTTACAGAGGTCGTCAGCTGTGGAGCTGGGGGCACACTAGAGGAATCCAGACCATTTTGGAATCCCATGTCCTCCCAGACACAGCTGGACTGCTCTGGTTCCTCAACGGGCCCATTTGGGCAGCAGAACCAGGGTGCGGCCTTGAGGCAGAACATCTATGAGAACTTTATGCAGGGCCTAGAGACTGGCAGCAGCAGTGGAACTGCTGATGGACTCCAGGTCTGGGAGGGTGAAGGAGAAAGCAGCAGTGGCTCAATGGGCTCTTTGGAGCAAATGGACTTCCTGTTTGAGAAGGAGCAAGGTGTTGTGCGGAGGGCTGGTTGGTTGGCTTTTAAGCCCCTCATTACCCTCCACAAGGACCGCAAACTGGAGCTGGTAGCAAGACGCAAGTGGAGGCAGTATTGGGTCACGCTCAAAGGTAAGATGGTAGTCTTGAGAACAAGCGGACAATAAATGCAGATTAACACTAATGCTGAATTTTCAGCAAGTAAAACTTGCACAGCCAATTCAATTTTTCAGTTCTAAGACTTCAAAATATAGCTGTAATGGATAATGTTTGCTCGTCATTATTAGGAGCTCTATCTCGGTTTCCCTGTCTCCTGTAGGCAGTACACTTTTGTTGGGTGAATCCAATGGAAAGACCTCCCCTGAGCAGGAATGCACACCACATTACGCAGTGCTTGCTGAAGATAGTATTTTGCAGGCAGTTCCTGAGCATCCCAAGAAAGAGCATGTCTTCTGCCTCAGCAATGCCTATGGAGATGTCTATCTCTTTCAGGCATGTGGCCTTTATCATATAATATAGTACACAGTACACTATTTCCACAGTGTGGACTTTTGGCTATAAGTTGTCTCTTATCTCTCACCTGTTACTTGCAGGCTGCTAATCAAACAGACCTGGAGAATTGGGTGACGGCCATCCATTCTGCCAGTGCATCACATTTAGCTAAGCGTCAGGGGAAGGAGGACACTCTGCGTTTGCTGAAGAGCCAGAGCAGAGCTCTTCTGCAGAAGATCGACATGGATGGCAAAATGAAGAAGATGGCAGAGCTGCAGCTGTCCGTCATCAGCGACCAGAAGAACAGGAAGGCTATTGAGAGCCAGGTGAGGAACAAAACAGATGTGTGTGTGTGTGTGTGTGTGTGTGTGTGGATGTTTATGCATATGTGTGTGGTTTGTTTCAAAAGTTTGAAGGCCAAATCCAAGTTGTTCAGATGAGTGGTTTGCTAAATTGGGCAATTAAGTCATTGATGTTGGTGTTTGAACAGCAACCACACCACAGTGCCTTCAGAGCATCCAAGAATATATAATACAAGCATTCAGACTTGTCATCCCCATGTCCTGCTGATCCGCATTATCTACATTTCTAGGTTTTTAGGTTTTCTAAAGAAAATGTGAGGGTTACTTTCCCATACATAAGTCACCGCCAGTGTTGTGGGTTGTTGTAACTCTATAATATTTATAATGTCTATAGCTTTCTCAAATGTATTTCAATGCGTTGCTCTCTCTCCTTCATCTCTGACCCACAGATCCTGCAATGGGAACAGAACCTGGAGAAGTTTAACATAGAGCTCTTCCGCATGCGCTGTTACCTGGCTAGCCTGCAGGGCACAGAGCTGCCCAATCCAAAAAGCCTGCTAGCCACTGCTGGACGCCCGTCTAAAATGGTGCTAGGTCGTCTGGGAATTTTCTCTGTCTCGTCCTTTCATGCGCTGGTGAGGATCTGTCACATGCTTTGAGGCAATTGTGTAAGATACCAAAAAAAGACCTCATTAAAACAGTCTACCTTTGAGATGCGCCACAAAAATTAAATTAAGATGATGGAGCACTGTGATTTTTTTAAAATGAGCTTGTGTTTGTGCAGATATGCACTCGTGATGAAGCCACCCTGAAGAGACGATCTCGCTCTCATCCTCGAGGTATGCGGAACAAACGAGGACTGCTCTTTTCTTCACAGAAGGGATTAGACAGTCTGACCAAACGTAACCATGAAAAGAGACAGTCCCTGTCCCAGGTAAGAAATACTCTTTGGTAGGGGCAACCGCAATGAAATTATTTAAAAAAATAATCTGGCTAGAACTGAAAATATCATGGAAATTCTTTTGCCAGACAGTTATGTATTTTGAGACCTGCCAAAACCTAACAATAAAGAATACACTTAGGGAAAATAAAAATAAAAGGAGTTTTTAAAGTTTTTCTTTAATTAGTGTTAATCCTAATTGACGTGAATCAGTACATACATAGCTGTGATTTCAGGTTAGGAGTCTTACTCTGAGGTTCACTGGCCTGTGTTTACGACTGCAGTACTGATTAGTCATTTAAAGGGGTCATATGATGCTATTTTAAAGATCATTATTTTGTGTATTTGGTGTAACAGAATATGTTGACATGCTTTAATGTTCAAAAAACATTA